CAGAACCAGGCTCAGTGTGAGCGGCCATCTGCTGAGGCCCACTGGGGTTCAAGGAGACAGAAGCAGAGACACAAAAGGGACTTGTATACCCGTCCACAGGCGGTCCCGAAAACACACAGCCGGGCAGACGAGCTGAAAGCGAGCACATCCAGTTAGTCACAGTCAGAGAAACAGGACTACACTGAAAAACAGTCCGATCTCCAACATCTAGAAACAAAGGTGTTGATGGCAGCAACATAGCAATGGTGATGTCTGTTCTGTCCACATTCTGAAGGTCACATCTTCCTGACTGCCCTTGTTAAATAAGACTATGAGAATGTATTCTTAGATGAATTGGAGATGCCTTTAAACTGCCTCCAGAGATACTTTAGCTGAGAAAGATTTCCCTGTGAGGAGAAGCAGTCATTTCTGAATGTGTTAGTTAACCAGCGAGGTCTGGCTGCTGCTTACAGCAGATGAACCAGAACCAGAAGGTTCTGCTGCAGGATCAGACCTGGGAAATGAGGAGAATGGACCAACCTTCAAAAGTTAGGGAACTTCAGACCTTTTATTATTCATGCATCTCATTTAGTTCTAAACTTGTAACTCCTGACGTTTGCTCAGCCTTAAGCTGGGTGTACTGGTGATAATGAGGGTTGCTTCAGTGATGAAGCCACGGCTGCTGTACTGAAGGCAGCCCTTGTTGTGTGCGGCGTTGCAGCGGTCCCTCAGTAACACAGAGGACGAGTGCACCCACCTGAAGGAGATGTCAGAGAGGGGTCAGGAGGAGCTGAGGGAGCTGGCCAACAAGTACAACGCCGCCGTGAACGAGATCAAGGAGCTCACCGACAAGATTAAGGTACCAGCTCATCCTGTTCTTCACGCTGCTCCTCCTCTCCTGTTCCATTACTTCCCTGTTCATTACTGTCCACTTCCGTGTTTTCCTGGCTTTAGGCGGCAGAGGGAAGGCAAGAGGAGCTGACTCTGCAGGGAGCCACGGAGAAGAGGGAGCTGGAGATGCGAATCGAAGAGATGGAGGAGAAGGAGCAGGTTCTCCAGGCTCGCATTGAAGCACTGCAGGCTGACAACGATTTCACAAACGAGAGGCTCACCGCCCTCCAGGGTAAAGCCCCGTTCAGAGGTTCCTACAGACGTATTCACGCCTCAGGCTTTGCTGTTAGGGGAGGATTTAGCAGAGGCTCCTGTTGCCATGAAGGCCTCAGAGCAGAAGGATGGCATCAGGGGAGGGTCTGCTGCTTTCTGCATCCACACCTACTGGAAACTGGAAGGAACTATGAGGGTAGTCCTCTGAATAAGGTGTCAGTGTCGACTGTACCGGGTTAGTACCAGAGTCCGTACTGGTACTGGGTCGGTACCAGAATTAGCTGATATCCCAGATCTTCTGATTCTTGTTTTTGGTGATTGGGTCGTCTCTGAAAACGTCACCAGGGTGTGAATACTTCTCTACTTTGAATGGTGTTTAATCTGAAGGTTTCTTACAGCAGCAGTCAGTGTTAGACCAGTTTTATTCCTTTAGAAGAGCTGAATCCAAAGGTGAGCCATCTGTGGCCACGCCTACCTAGTTCCGGTCACATGTAAGAATATGGCAGCTGCACCTTCTTCCCGCCAGTCACCGCCTCCCTGCTGCTGCTCTTGTTTTTTTGCAGTGCGCTTAGAGCAACTACAGGAGAAAAGCATTAAGGACAGCAACAGCCTGGGTGAGTCCACCTGTCCCCGGGACACGTCTTCTCCTCTTCCTGCTTCTCTAATGATGCATGACGGCTTCCTGCATGAGCTCCGTTTACCTGTTGCTGGCTGTGGCTGCAGCTCTCTGTCCTTCTGTGGTGGAAACTTTATTTTTCAACACTTTTCCTCCTCTTGGTTTTGGTGTTGATGCAAAGGCTTGCTGTGTTCTGTTGGGGTCGGAGACCGTCTGAGCTGAGAGACTTTTAGATTCAGAAATCATCCTGAAAATGATCAGATAATAAGAATAATTGAACTTTATTGATCTCAGAACATCTGAAATTATTTGGATGGTACGGCAAACAAAAATTTCCTCCACAACTCTGTTGCCCAAAGGTCCAAACGGTCCGTGTCCAGGACGTGTGGAAGAACATCCTGGTCGATTCTCTCTGCAGACCTGATAGGTCGAGTTTCTGTCCTCACGGGATGACATCAGAGGAGACTCATTCCAATGTTAATATCTGGAATCTTGAAGAAAATTCTACATTTATTCTTTATTTATGGACCATTTAACTCCGATTTTGCTCGTTCGATAAAAGAACCGGTTTAATCATCATTACACCTTTTTAGGATCCTTGCTCGGTGTGTTTTGTTTAGGCGGGGGGGGGGGCATGGCGGCACTCATCCAATCTGGTCGTCTTGGATAATCTGGGTTTTTTCCTCCACTGCTTGGTGTCGTTTTCCTTCCTGTGGGTCTCTGATTAGCCCACCCTCACTGATGCCGTGTTCTCTGCATGTGTGTTAAACCTTCGTCCAATTGGTCTATATATCTGATCTGGTCACGTGACAGATGAGGACATTGTCTCCCACGGACGGGCAGAGGAGCCTGTGGAAGACCAGCAGAGCCTGCAGACCTGTGAGGAGCTCGGCGGAGGCGAGGCAGATTCAGACACTGATGATGGTGGAGATGAAGAGAAAGATGGTAGATAGTTTAATTCTCCTAATAACAGACGTCTGAGCACCTCTGACCTCATTTTAGATGAAATAGATGAAGTCAGATGATCATCCAGCTTCACTCATCAGCCCATCCAGACTTTTCCGCTTCTGATTGAATCAGAGCTTCCCTTTTCTAGATCTGAACTCTCTAGGTCTTTTTATTCAGGGCAAACTAAGGAAGAGCTAACGAGGAATTCCCTGAGATGAATTCCAAAGAATATGTTTCCAAGTTTGAAGACGTTCCGCTTCCCATCCAGGAAGCTTTTTCAATTCAAAATATCAGAAATAGTATTGAGTTTCTTTATACAGCAGCCCAACAAAGCCTTGTTTTGGCTTAGAAAACATGCAAATAGAAACAGATTAACTGTTCCACCCCTTCTGAATGGGGGTCATTTGGCTTCTTTGTTAGCCTGCAATGCCCCATACCTGTCTATGTCTCTGAAAAGGGGTCGTTAAAGGGAATATTTGGTCTCCTGTTCCCCTTTATAAAGGTTGTGATGAAGCTCTTTAAGTTGTATCTATACATGTAAAAGTATTCGCACTTAATATTGGCATAAACTCAGCTGAGAACAACCGGCATCCTGAAGGCAGAGGAAACGGGTCCTGGATGATTCTGAAAAAAAAGTGAAGGCCGGATGATGTCGACAAAACTTCATCGCCGTGGATACGATCCGATTGAGACCTTCATATGAAGTAGCGCAGCATGGCTCCTCTAGAACAGTTTAGAAAGCTAAATGGTGACGTAGAATCGCGGGTTGGAGCTGAATGTGATCCTCTCTGACTGCTGTTATCTATCAGCGTTCACAGGTGTTTGTGTTTATGATCGGTACGCTTTCCTGCTGCAGTTAAACCCACATAATCCTACGCTGCACCGCTGTTCTGTCATGTGACCACATGGTGATGCAGCCCCCCCGTGTGGTCATCACGGCCATGTGGGCAGTGCGTGCGGAGGAGGGCGCTCTGCTCCAGCTTCACCAACATCTAGCTTTGTAGGTCTATGCAGGAGAACATATGGAATAGGATTAGGGCCACTGGAAAAAAAAAAAAGTGAACTGATTTTTAAATTTTATTTCAGTTTAGTATTCAGTATTCAGAATTCTGACTGAATTCTGACAATAAAAAAGTCAGAATTCTTAAATTAAAGTCAGAATTCTGAGAAAAAGGTCAAATTCTGAGAAAAAGGTCAAATTCTGACTGAATTCTGACAATAAAAAAAGTCAGAATTCTGACTTTTTTTCTCTAAATTCTGACTTTTTTTCTCAGAATTCTGACTTTTTTCACAGAATTATGACTGAATTCTGACAATAAAAAAAGTCAGAATTCTGAGATTAAAGTCAGAATTCTGACTTTTTTCCCATACTAAACTGAAATAAAATTTAAAAATCAGTAAAAAAAATTTTTTTTCCAGTGGCCCTAATCCTCTTCCATAAGAACAACCTGAAGCTGCAAACCAAATCATTTTGTTGGTGGTTCCAGGGGTCTGGATACTTTCAGGGTCCACACTCCTTCACTCTGCTAGCTTAATGCTGATGTTTGGCGTTTCAATCCCAGCCTTTAATCCACTCTATGATCATTTTCTATTTTCTTCACCTGGACACTCCTAGAGGGCTGGACGATGTCAAGAAAATCTTAATATTTGGGCTATATTGCGATTCATAATAATATCACAAAATGTTTGAATTACCTTAAAAAAATTATAGTGCATAAAATTGAGCTAAAATACTGATTCAAACTTTTTGTTTCAAATTTAAAACATTTTTTTAACCAGCTAAAAGCTTTTCACAAATAAACCTGCCACATTACGTCTTTTAGTATCAGTATTGGAAACAGGAAACCGTGAAAACACACAATACTAAATAAAATATAAAATAAAAAAGTGCTATTTTGTACATAATAAAAACAAATGCAGAATGAAAAAGAAATTTACCTCAAATTATAAAAAACCTGAAGT